TAATCCGGAAAGAGCGAAAGAAAAAAATTTTAGGTGATGTGACATTAGTCAATAAGATATCTTCGGACATGTTTTCCTCGTTTTTGTTGGAAATTTAACTTCTGTAAATAGATTTCCCAGCCAGCTTCTCCCCCCCCCCTCCCCACGTCTCAGGTCTCGTATCTGCTTGTCGGATATTCCAGTTACAGTACAGCCAGTTCACTCTTTGGTGTTGTGTTCCCATTGTTTCCTCTTTTAACATCTTAGTCTTAGTCTCTATCCTACAAGGAATGGCGCAAGCAGGAAGACAAAGAGGCAGACAGAGGAAAAGATGAGAAGTGGTTAGGCTCTCGGACTCGCAACCGTAAGGTCGTGGGTTCAAATCCCGTCAGGGGCCCGACGTTGTGTCCTCGGGAAAGGCATTTTACACTTATTTTCCTCACTTCACCCAGGTGGGAATGGGTACCCGGCTATAGACAGCGAAAGATCTTGTCAGTTTGTTAGTGTTTGAGCGCTTAATCGGCTGCTCGCACTGTATGCTTCCCGGGAAGCTGAGAATGTTTCAGAGTGCTCTATGGTCTGCTGGGGTAATAATATAGTGTAAAGCGCATAGAGCCTGCTGTTGAGCGGGGATATGCGCTATACAAATGCTATCTATTATTATTATTAACATCAAAGTCAAAAAGCGGACAGGCCGTGACCAGAACATAACACTGAAAAAAAGCTGAGAACCGAGAGGACTGGAAGAAGCTGGTTGCAAAATGTAGTTTTTGTTTTAGTATAGGTTTTACGGCGCTCGCAACTGCATTAGGTCATATAAGCGCCAAGGGGTGGATGTCAACAGAGAAGTCTATACAGTTATCAGGCTTACTCTGATGCTCACCTCTCTAGCTTCAACAGCACAAAGTCTGCTTCGACTATCAAGGCACCCCAAAATAAGGGGTCACAAGAGTGTGACAAACATACAAAAGAAGTAGAGGAAAATGACGATAGTACGGATTAGGAAAGAAAAAGCAGCAGGTCCCTGTTGGCAGTTCAGGCACAGTTATGAGCAAGACATTGTTGAATCAGCTCATTTACAATTCTACTGTGCATAAGAACAAGTTAATGTCCCCCCTTTGGGAATGGCATAAAGACACTTCAGATTCAGTCAGTGACACCGCCCCCCCGGGGGAGGGGGGTGCAAAATTTACTATGGTGCCCTAACGGCCAACGGTCAGCCAGATGATAGGTGAAAAGTGAACTCCAGTACAAGAGACAAAATACGTCGGGACAAAGTACGATAAATTCAAAACCGCACATTCAAACACATGCATTCTGAACGTACTAATAGCGTTTGGTTTGGATGGATATGAGTTTAATACCTCTTTCAGCACTGTAAAGTATATTAAAATAAGAAGCCATACCTCTTATATAAGGCCTAATTTAGATTACCCAAAATACTTTTGAGGATTTTAGAATAATAAAATACGTAAACAAAAACATCCAAGATGGGCGTCGTTACCATGGTAAAGCACATACTGCGAACATTTGGTCAGGAACAGTAGATGACATGAAACAAACAGGTAAGACGTTTTTCGAGAAAGAGAACACATGAAATCACATACTAAATCATCAACTGCAGGATAAGTGGAGATAAAAAGACAATTTGGAACTAAGAAAACATAACAGTCTTGAGAGGGAGGGACAAACAGAACAAGTATTCGTTTATGTAACGAAAGACATGTCATAATATATCATACTATATATATATATACGCGGGCACAACAGCACAGCCGCGTTTTATGGAAAGCAAAGAGCGGCAGCCATATCGGTGCTATTTGTATATATGATGTTCATATGAACAATCGGCTTCACGTACACTGTATATAAAAATATGTAACACATTGTATTATCCTGGGGCGAGCACCGATATGGCTGCCGCTCTTTGCTTTCCTTAAAACGCGGCTGTGCTGTTGTGCCCGCGTAGATGAAGGGCATAACACTCACCGCTTTCCCTAAAGTCGAGTGCATATGCAAATTTTCCCCACCTTAATCTTTATTTGGTTCCAAACAGAGTCAAACGGTGTGATCCATTGAGAACCGAAACTTCAACTATTTGGTGCCAATGGTGAGCTCTATACTGAATCAAAAATATGATTTCATTATATTTGGTTCCAAACAGGGTCAAATGGTGTGATCCATTGTGAACCAAAACTTCAACTATTTGGTGCCATTGGTGAGCTCCATACTGAACCAAAAATATGATTTCATTATATTTGGTTCCAAACTGCATGACAAAGTGGGAAGAACTGTACGCACGCGTCTGCTTAGAGGGACTGAATGGATGAATGAGGCAGCGACGACTTTGGCTAAATGCTTTGAAGTGTAAGACATTCGAAGGGGCAGCGCATGGGTCAGCGTCACTAACACACTTGGGCAGTATACTCGAGTGGTAGCAACCTTAGGCAGAGAATGTCGTGAGTGGCCAGAGGAAGTAGCCAATGCCGAGGTAGAGACGCTGATAGAGGAGAACCATGAACAGGGCGATGTAGTCATCTTCACAGATGGATCAGTACAGCGTGGTGTCAAATCTGGATGGGCTGTCAGCGGCCGTGTAAACGGGATCATACAGAGAGAGCTGTCAGGCGCCACTAGTATAACCGCGTCCAGCATGTGCATGGAGATGAAAGCCATTACAGAAGCCCTTAACTGGGTTATGACGACGGAGTATCAGTCAGCCATCTTTGTCCCCGACTCTCTATGAGTACCCTCGAAAAAGTGAAGAAACACATGATGTATACAGACTGGCGAGAGGCTATACAAAGCAGCGAAATCACAAGGATTGTACACTGTATGGATCTTTAGCCCTGGTCAATGTCATGCAGGAGTTCAAGGCAATGAACGTGCTGACAAGCTAGCTGGCCAGGCTGAGATTGGTGGCACCATGCAATTAGATCCACCAACAGTCATGGCAGCATTGACAGAATGGTTCAACGATCACAGATAGGATGAAGGCACCACTTCACATACAAAGGATAAACTAAGGGAAGCTGGTGTCTCTAGAGGGTCGAGGAGAGACAGCAGCCTGTGCGGAAAAGCCAGAAGAATATCCAACCAGCTGTTAACGCCATGATCAGCAAGCCAACCCTTTCATGGATCCTGGAGAGGAGGGAGGAGCAGCTATGGCATTGTGCCGCCTGCAATGACGCCTATTCTCAAACCAAGTAAGTACCAAGTAAGAAGTTCGAAATTAAGTCAAATGGTTTGCTCCATACTGAACTGAAAATACGAAAATAAGTCAGAGTGCATAGTCTTGGAAATAATAATACAAGTTTGTGGTATGAAAAAAAGCAACAGAAATCCAACAAAATAAGGTTGTTGGAACGAGACAATTTTTTTTTTCATTTTCAATGAAAAAAAGAACAGAGTGGAACATGCAAGGATGAAAACAATAAAACGTGACGTTGTTTATAAGGATGATGTTTCTCTTTTGCAAGATTATGAGGATGCAAGGAAATTGCACTGGCGTCTATGGTGTAGCAGTGAGGTCCTTTTCCATTGCACACAGAAGACACAAGTTCGATTCCCATGTAGAAAGGTATTTTTGTATATGTCATCCCAGATATTCCTGTGTGTTTGTGTGTGGGTGTGTGTGCATGGGAACGTGTGAGTGTATGTGTGTCTGTGAGTGTGTGTGTCTGTGTGTGTGTGTGTGTGTGTGTGTGTGTGTGCATGGGAACGTGCGAGTGTATGTGTGTCTGTGAGTGTGTGTGTGAATGTGTGTGTGTATGTGTGTGCGGGTGTGTCTGTGTCCGTGTGTGTTTGTGTCTCAGCAGAAAAGTGGCGATATTAATAGAATATCACCTCAACATAGAAATCGAACTCATAGCTCCAGCACGCAATTTCAAGAGCCTGATAAGTACACCCTAAACGCCAACTTGTACAGTGTGCGCGTGTGTGTGTGTCACAGAATTGTAGAATTGTAGAATAAGAATACAATTTTGTGGCGTGTATACACAATATATTTATACCAAGACAAGATTTACATGGTTCCCCTCCTCCCCTTATACAACTAGAAATACTGCCATGGGATGTCCATGCAACATTCTCCAGACAACAGCGTTACAGGCTACACAGCTGATAACATTTCGTTTCCAATCAGCACACGCTATACGCTATAAACCTGCAGCTTTCCTGGACCAGATCAGCTATATGTGTGTCATGGCGCGGTGGAATCAGGCACTCTAGTGTCATCTTAGAGCTTGTTCAATTGCCATGCTTTTGATGAGAAAATATCCATCTATCTTGAAAAGAAGTCGAAATATTTGAGATTGAAGGCGTAAAAGTCCTTGGAAACAGCAAAATTACATTTTTTGTGTGATTTTAATCAGTTTTTCAGTAAAGTCCACACATAAATGTGTTTTCAAATGGACATATAAGCCAAAAAACAAAAATTCAATAAACATTTTCAAGTGAGCCCAAAAAGGCAGGTTTCCTTGATTTCATTATTTTGGCGAGTGCCTGATTTCGCCACGTTGCTCACATATGTCAACAAAACATAGAACGTGAGAGAAATACTTTATTGTCATCAGTCTGTACTAATGGCAGAGAAAGTTACCAGGATGGTGTGATGATAAAATGGTAAGGGTTTGGTTTTTTTAAACAATGAATGAATAAATGTTGTGACATTTTGTGATAAAAAGCCTTTTTTTAATATATAAAATTCACGCTAATATTTGAGTCGAAAGCTGGATTTTCTTTCGCTGAAAAAGTCTGACATTTTAATCGCTACCAAACTTTTCATTTTGAGAAAGCAAAACAAAATGTCCTCTCACATCTTACGGTTTATTTGCGTGCATGAAGCAGAGCATTAGGAAACAGACACCAAGAAGGCATAAGCGATATATAACAAAAAAGAAATGAAAATACAGCAGCAGTTGCAGGAGTTATCTGAGGAAGGAGCAGAGAAACACTTGCATCTGGACAAAAAAGCTTATGCAAGGCATCCATAATGCCCCATTCAAAGAGAAGTGATGCTCTGAAAAGGACGCTGTCTCTGATAGGTAACCAGTTTCTTTCCCAAGCTATTTCTATAATATATTATTCATTGCTTCTCATTGACTCATTGATAGATCAAAATATTACTTTATTACAGTTGCCTTCTCAGCTTATACATGACTACAAGTACAACAGAAAACAAGTCCCTCATAGCAAATGACAAAATATATTTGGGTATAATCTGTAGCTTGGAGCAAAGGTCTTGTTATAGATATCAGCATTCTTCCCTACACTATTTTTCCCAGCTAGCTCTCCAGCCTGTACTAATTGACATCATACAAGACCAGTACTGCACTTTATTTCTCACATCTAACTTTACTTTTTACTTTCACTTTTCCGATCCAGCGGCCATTTGGGTTCTAGCCCTTCGGTCTGAATTTCTCACATCTAAAGCCTAAGAGAAAAACAACATTTATAAAAAAGGGCAGTAGCACTTGCCAAATAATAAAACTTGTTCAAACTACAGCCCTTACAAGTATAAGTGAGAAATCATTTTCATTTTCACTCCAAAAGTATCGATTAGCCAAAATTTGTAACAGGCAATTACATGGGTTCAGCCAAAATCATAACCTGTACTTCACATCAAACTATCATAAACCATGACAGCGCAGAGACTTGGAGATTGTACGATTAAAATATATTTTCTTCCTCCTTCTCAGAGCACCGCCTCCGCTGTAGCAAAGAAATTCACTTCTCAAGGACATGATGATGTTAAGATAGGAGAGACACGGGTCCGCAGTGCTGAATGTTTCACCTTTGAGGAGGCGGGAGATGAGGAGCTGTGGGGCATCAGCAACACTGACATTCGTACCTAGAGGTCAAACAAAGAGCAGTTCAACTGAATAAATATACGGGTCATTTCAACTGAAATCCAAAATCTCTCCCACTTGCCTTCTCCTTCCACTCTGTATTTGCAAATACTCTGGAACATTTAGGGCATGTTGAGACAGTAACAGCCATATTTCGCCAGTAGCAGGAAGCATATAATAATAATAATAATAATAATAATAATAATAATAATATAATAATAACAATAATAATATTATAATATTATTATCATCACTGCTGCTACCATAATAAACAAAGCTAATAACAGCAATAACATGATAATGAAAAGGATAATAATAATAATAATAATAATAATAATAATAATAATAATAATAATAATAATAATAATAATAATAATAATAATAATAATAATACAGTTAAGATACCCAAATAATAGTATGCACCATTGTCAGGAAATGATACATTTAAAAAACAACTCATACGTGAATTAAAAATACCTCCAATTTTTTATCTTCATGCAGTGGCTCCCAAACTGTGTGTCGCCTTCCTAGGGGATTCAAGAGTCCACGAACGTGTTAAGATTTCCTTACTCTTCCATTTTCTCTGCCTTATTTCATAAAAGAAGAATGACGGCAAATGTTTTACAGCGCATTCTTCAACACGAGTTACATCAATTAAGTGGCTGGCTGTTTTCGACCTTGCCAGAAGCAAAGGTTACATGGATCACTGCAGAAAGCAGAAAGGCAGAGACACTTGGTTTAAGTATATTCCCCACGCAGAAATCGAAACTGTAATCTTTTGTGGGCAAGGCAATCAGACTCAATTGCAAGACATTATACACTCTAGTGAAAACGAAAAGTAATACAACAAACAAAAATTTTGAAAAACTGAAACTTAAAGACTTGGGATAGATCTTTAATAAGTTTGGGAACCACTGTCTGAATGCATTAAGCTCATAAATAGATTTATGTGGATATACAGAAGCACAGCCGTCTTAAGAAGCTGAGGTTGGAGAATAAAACAAAGGTTTCAGTTTCATACCATAAAGCTCACATCAACAAAATGTTTATTACGACATTGTATATCCAGTTACAGATCAAAGCCCCTTATTTCAATTCTCATGACAAGAATTGACCTCCAATCAGATAAGTAGACATTTAGAATATGAGACCTCTAAGGCAAGGATTAATTCTTTTATGCAACACTTAAGTCTTGCAGTGTAACAAGAATTTATTTGAAAGTAATCTTTATATACAATAGTCCAAACATAAGAAATATACTGTCATACTGAAGTAGTATAAAGCATTAATTTGTAAATAATATTCCTTTACAATTCTCCTTACCAAACATGCACTATCATATTCAGCTTGAGTGCACATGATTGCCTTAAGAGTAGAAATGTAATTATATAGTCAAATGGCAAAAAAAACAAAAAACTTCTTGGTATTTAAAAGAAATGCACATCTTGCATAGATTTATTTCAAAACACAAATGTTATTCTCCAAATAATTAACATGGAAAACTCCTCCACAAATTCTTCAATGCATCTATTCAGCAGTTCTATCTCACATCTTACATCTGACACATTTTCTTCAAGACAACCCAGTTTCAGATCATGTGCCTTTGACCTATTTATGTTACATTTGTTCACGGGTAAGAAGCAAAGGCTGTCTTGAAGGTGGCAACTAACAGAGGGTTGGTGTATCAGAGGCAAGGGTTAGAATTACAGTGAGTGTGTGTGGGGAGGGGTGGGGTGGGGGCAGGGGGAATTCTGCACTGGGAACAGGCTATTTGTGTACAAAATTTTATTTGTCCTCAGCATTTTCTTATACTAAAAGACATTTAATTTCCAGATAAAGTGTTTTTCCTGTGTGGCTTGTTTGGTACACAAGCACAAGTGACAGAAGAACTTAAAATGTGAGGAAGAACAAAAAGTATCCACTGAATCAGGAGGAAAGACTATACAATCCAAAGACAAATGTACAGAAAAATACACAAGAATAAAAGAGTCGGACACAGAAAGAAGTACAAATACAAATACCATATTAAACAGCTTAAAGTTAAAGTCTACTAGCATGACAAAAATGACGTAAAGTGCACTAGTGAAGTCGTGGAGGAAATTCCAGAAGACAACGAATACAACACTTACTGAACATGCGTTTAGAACTAATGACAAAGACGAAGATCTGGCATTTTCTAAGGGCCTGACAGTCAAACATCTAAGTGCATAACCAAAGATATGATGACTCGGACGAAAAAAAAAAAAAATCTAATCCTGGCACGTGTAAAATACATCATCTAACATGAAGAAGGAAAATACACAGAACGGTAAGCTGACAAGAAATGAAACACTAAAATGGCAACGAGAGATATATATAGCTTGACAAGGGCTGGTGATGGGCTGACTAAACCTACTGTACCCAATTAATAAATAGGTCCCTCTGCAGAAGGGTTCCACGTCACCCCCCCCCCCCCCCCCTTCCCTATAAACATGTCTACAGACAAGACATTGGTCCATAACGTAAACCATTCCTGGTACTGGCACTACTTACATCACCATCACTGTGTATGTAGTGCTGGAAAACACCAGCCACAAAATACCATGTTCAATAATGGAGAAACACACAAGGTCAAAGATAACAGGACGGTAGACAGGGCATGTTTTTTTTTGGGGGGGGGGGGGAGGGAGTACCTACCCTAAGAGGTTCTGGTTTCGAAAAGCCATTCATGAGTTTTTTGTAATGCGTCACATCCATCAAACGCAGCATTTCTGTGAGGCAGGCGATGAGCAAACTCTACCGGAGGGAAAGAAAATGGTTCTAAGATATTACAGATTCAGCACATGAAAAGTGGCCAACCTCATTTACCTCACTGCAGGAAAGGCAGTGCGGCGGGCCAGCACAGGAACTAAGCAAGTCTACCCAGCTTAACCAGCAGCTTGCACTGTATGCTTCCCGGAAAGCTGAGAGTGTTTCTGAGTGTTCTATGGTCTGCTGGGGTAATAATATAGTGTAAACCGCATACAGCTTGCTTTGGAGTGGGGACATGCGCTATACAAATGCTATTTATTATCATTATTATTATTATTACCCAGTTTGTAGTCGATACTGGTCTTCAAGAATGATGCGATCAAGAAGAAGAAGAAGAGAAAGAAGAGCAGCAGCAGCAGCAGCAGCAGCAGGAGGAGGAGGAGGAGGAGGAGGAGGAGGAGGAGGAGGAGGAGGAGGAGAAGAAGGAGAAGAAGAAGAAGAAGAAGAAGAAGAAGAAGAAGAAGAAGAAGAAGAAGAAGAAGAAGAAGAAGAAGAAGAAGAAGAAGAAGAAGAAGAAGAAGAAGAAGAAGAAGAAGAAGAAGAAGAAGAAGAAGAAGAAGAAGAAGAAGAAGAAGAAGATTCAGCCTTAAATGTCTATAAATCATTGTTGAGGTTGCCAAAGCCACAAAGCCAGAACAAATGTTCATCCTTGATAAGATGGAGCAAAGAGCCTTTACCTTTATAAATTATGGACAATCAGTGTGCTGAAGAAATCAAGCAGGAATTGAAACCACTTGAATCATAACTTGAGGAACTCTCACAACATTTTCACAGAATGAGTCCTTGGCGACACAAATTTTCAATGACAAATGTACTTTGGTGTAATGAGGGCTATCCATAGAGGTTTTTCCATTTTTGTTGCACAAAACTGCCAAAATGTCCTATGCGTTTGGAACGGATGGGGGCACAAACTTTGTCTTACTCCTTTCTCTTAAAGCAATGTGCACATCACATAACCCATGACAAATCAGTCCTATAGAAATGAATCAGAAGTCGTCTGATTAGCGAGCACAGTACTGATACTGTTGAACATTAACCCCAAGGGTTGAACATTAACCCCAAACGTTGAACATTAATCCCACAGTCAAGAACAGGACTAACATACAGAAGTTTGGAATCAAAATCTGAATGAGTCCTGACTTTTTACTTGAGTCTTGACATGTGAAAAATATTAATAATAACATATGGAATTTATATATATAGCGCTCAAATCCGATTAAAGTACTCAGGCTCTGAGCGTTTTACAACACAACAGTAATGTAACATATAATCAGTGCACTGTGTTCTGACCAAAATATTCTTCAGGAAGAAAGGCTGACTCTGCAATCTGACAAGGGGAATTTTAAAAAAACCCAACCTGGTAGATAAAGGAGTGTGAAAACAAACGAATGGACAGTGGCTTACCCCAGCCTCCTCCCTCTGCGCCTCATTCACAGTCCACATTGTGCGGACAGTCACATCAAACAAGCCCTTGATGATGCGGGTCACCTCTTCCTTCACATCTGTAGTCTGTACAGGGACAAAACACGTAGTGTTAATCACCTCTGAAGCATAATAATAATAATAATAATAATAACAATAATAATAACAACAATAATAATAATAATGTGTATAGAACAATAAAGATAAAAATAATAACAATAATAATAATAATAATAATGTGTATACAACAATAATGATAAAAATAATATTAATAATAACAACAACAAAAATAATAATAATAATAATAATAATAATAATAATAATAATAATAATAATATGTGTGTATAATGATACAAATAATCGCCTTTACATAGCCTACACTGATGCTTTACAGCATGATGTAATGCACATTACATGTACAACTATAATTACCCCAGCAAACCCGAGAACAACCAGAAAACATTCTGGGCTTTCCAAGAAGCACACAGTGCAAGCAGCCAATTGAGCGTCAAACACTAACAAACTGACAAGCTCTTTCGATGGCTGTCACCAGGTACTCATTTCCACCTGGGTGAAGTGAAAGAATTTGTTTAAAGTACCCTACGCAAGGACAAAATGCCAGGCCCCTTGTGGGGCTTGAATATTTTTTTGTGTGTTGTTTTGGTAAACGGTTTTACGTTGCTCGCAACTGCATAAGGTCATATTATCTTTCGGTTACAACTCTTAACAGCCTGACCACTAGATCATCAACATCACATAACAGTAAACGTTATTAAACAATCAATTTTTAAAGTCAATTAATGAAACAGGTTTACAGAAGCTTTTGAGGTCAGAGGCTACTTATTGCAATAATAAAATCTGGGAGAAGAATAACTTGAAAACTCTCAAAACATTTTCACAAAATGAGAGTACGGTAACTTATATTTTGGTATAATAAGTGCTATCCACGGTAAGTTTTCCATACTTGTCTCCTAGAACAGCCAAAATTTCCCATGCATTTGGAACAGATGGGGGCACAAACTTAGCCTTGCTCCTTACTCTTAAAGCAATGTGTACATCACATAACCCATGACAAATCAGTCCTATAGAAATGAATCATAAGTCGTCTGAATAGCGAGCACAGTACTGATACTGTTGAACATTAACCCCAAGGGTTGAACATTAATCCCAAAAGTTGAATATTAATCTATAGGGTTGAACATTTATCCCAAGGGTTGAACATTTATCCCTCCGGTTGAACATTAATCCCACAGGTTGGTCATTTGTCCCACAGGAACATCAGTCTCAAGAGATTACTAATCTCAAAGCACACACCTGAACATAATCCGTCAAGTCAAATAAGTCTACAGTACTTTTAACCAGTGATCAGCACACACATCTGATAAAATACTGCCATAAGTCAACAAAACGCCTTTCTGAAAAATAATTCATAGCAGTTTCCAGATAAAGAGCCTTTTTGTCAGCGAAACCCTTTAAAAAGGCGTTCTTCTGAAATTTTAACTCTAATTTATTCAAAAACTAGCCAGAGTGCCACTTTGATAGTTTTTTCACACAAGTAGGGTAACAGGTCAGGCTTTCAATTTAGCAAATTAAAAAAAAAAAATTTAATTTTTTAAAATTTGACGCCATAAATGGAAAAAAAAGATGGCATTTTGTCAGCTTGTGGCAGAACACTACACACTAACCTCCTTGAGGTCAAAGATCACACTGAGCAGATCACCCAGAGTGTTTGCCGTGAGGGCCAGGTTGTACTTGTGGATCAGACATCTCTTGAGGTGAGACACACACAGATGTAGCAACTTTTCACGAGACGCTGAGCACAGAGAACAAAATTGGTGAAATGGTATAGGTTAAACGACCCAGTCAACATTCATTTCATTCATTGCCTTTCTCACCCCGGATCAGGGTATAAGCCACAAACAAACACTTTCCACTTTTGTTTCCCTATCCTGGGCTAACCTCTTGACGTTATTCCATGGCTTCCCATTTTTTTGTACATCAATTTCTGCGACTCTTCTCCGCCCCTACCACCACGATTAAGTTATTTAAGAGGCGGGACCTATATAAGTCTTTCCCAAGGACACAACGTCGGACCGAGCTGAGGCACGAACCCCCAAACCCGTAATCTCACAATTACGAGTCTGGTAGCCTAACCACTAGGCTACCGACGCCACGCACAGAGAAAGAAAAGGTTGTCAATCACACAACAAGAGGACACTCTTCTATGTGGCACTTCTGGAAACAACAGTGTCACAACGCTCAGGAATCAGGCACTCGTCAATTTTGAGCATATATGGAGCTACTGGCATCACCTTCAAGCCTGTTCATTTGTCTTGATTTTTATTCTAGAAAATACCCATGTACCTTGAATAGAGGTCGAGATATTCGCGATTGAAGGAAGAGGGGTGGGGGGTTGCCTGGTGTCAGAGGTAAAATAAGCCAGAAAATAGTGCCCTTTTAAACTGAAAAGTGACATTTTCTGTGCTTTTGATGAATGATTTTCAGTGAAATCCAAACAGACATATGTTTTCAAATGGACATAAAAGGTGTTTAGCCAGAAGAAGAAAGTTTAAAAAATTGCCCAAATGACGAGAATAATGCCGGTTTCTGTGATTTAACTATTTTGACGAGCGTCTGATTTCAGCACAATGCCTCACAATTTACTTACTGCTTTTCAGGTAAAACAGACCACTGCCACCAAACACGTGAAATAAACATTCCTCCTTCCTCTTCACTCAAGTACACTTACAAAGGGGGGAGGGGGGGGGGTTGTTTTGTTTTGTTGGGTTTTTTTGTAAGTGTTTTACGGTGCTCGCAACTGCATAAGGTCATACGAGCGAGTGGGACACATGAAACATTTTTAGTTTGCAAGGAATTAATTTTGAATTTTGCCAGGGTGGCGGCCAAAGCTTACTCTTATCGATTTTGGGACCACCAAGGGATCTCTAACGTGCGCAACTTGTACATGAGACCTCCAGATTTCTCACTCTTATCCGAAAAGGCTAGCTGTTACATTTTACCTACCATAAAATCAGGGGTGTGGCAGCAGAAAGAGTAAGGAGCCTAGATGAGAAGGCAAAGGAGGTGAGAGGGTGGGGCAGAAAGCAGACGACAGAACATTATTAGAGAGCAGGAAAGGAGGTGAAACGAGAAAATTTTTTAAGAAAAAAATGTTGTCGCTGTGCGGAGTCAAACCCGAGACCTATTGAATGACAGGTAAACACTGTAACCTCTCGACCACGGCAGCCCCCACAGGTATATAACAGATTTAAACCATTCTAAATTTAAGAAAAAATCGAATTCTTCTAATGAATTATTTATTTAAACTACCCATCAGCTTTCCCCAATCAATTTGACTAGAATTTGACTTCAGCTAGTGAATATCACCGCTCATAACAAATTACACACATGAAAATGTAGGAGCAAGTTTCAAGGCACACAATTTGATAAATTTTTTTTTTAAAGAAAAAAAAGAGAAGAAAAAAAATGTCTAAAATATACAAAAGACACATTTTCAAAATTCTTAACTTTAAGCTACAATCTATAATCGTAGACCCACTAAAAGAGGATTTCTTGGTACGCAAATTACCTCAACAGACAAAACTAGGACAACCCTACCTGCGTCCAGCAGCAGCTTTGAGTTGATGCAATGTTTCACAAACTGCGTCTTGGCACGGAGCACAGAGCCACTGGCTTCTTTGTGAGTCCTGTTGAGCAGAAACACCACCATTTCGGCCAGGTCTCCCGTGGGCAACAGGTGGAGGAGCGGAATGAACGCTTTGTGCAAGTTTGTCAGCAACAGTGCCTGTTGGACAGAGATGATTTTTTTTTTCAGGTAACACTATAAATAATAATAATAATAATAACAATAATAAGAATTATTAGTATTATAAGAATTATAATAATAATAATGATAATGATAATAATAATAATAATAATAATAATAATAATAATAATAATAATAATAATAATAATAATAATAATAAATAGCATTTGTACAGCACATATCCCCGCTCAACAGCAAGCTCTACGCGCTTTACACTATATTATTACCCCAGCAGACCATAGAACACTCAAAAACATTCTCAGCTTCCCGGGAAGCATACAGCGCAAGCAACTGATTAAGCACTCAAACACTAACAAACTGACAAGATCTTTCACAGTCTATAGCTGGGTACACATTCCCACCTGGGTGAAGTGAGGAAAAATCTTGTAAAGTGCCTTTCCCAAGGACACAACGTCGGGACCCTGGCGGGATTCGAACCAACGACCTTACGGTTGCGAGTCTGAGACCCTAACCACTAGGCCACCGACGCCATATATCCACTGCTCGGAGTAAGATTCTGTTAAGACTTTTCAAAATGGTGTATGGCCGAGTTTTACACTAAGCAGTTGATAATATATACAATTGATAATGTTCAAGACAGCCACACATTGTCAAGGAAAAAAGTGGTCGTCTTAAACACATGGACGTTTCAGACAGCGTTATTATAATATTTTTTTTAATGCAAAGGAAGAAGTGGAGAAAGGTCATTTATTTGTACAGGTGATTGTGTCTTAGACAAATAGAAGTTGCAGCAGGTTCATCTATACCTCCTGTGTCTCCTGCCCAGAAAGCTCACAGGATTTCTGACAGGACAAGACAAGGATATAATGTAAACTTGCTAGGTAGAATTCCTCGGAACATATTTCCTTAATTAGAAATTTCAGAATATCTTTGAAATCTGTTTGACTTGACATAAACATGCTCGAAAAGTAGGACCGCAACCACGTTCTGTTGATACTAATGAAAACAAATTCCACCATCTTTTGGAATGGCCGAGCTACGAAAATGACCAAAACTAATACTTATCTGAGGAATTTTTAGCCAGTACCTGGCAAGCAATTTTTAATGAGTGCAGGTTTTAAACTATGATACAAACAATATCAGTGAGACTGGTAAACAAGAAATAAGAGGACATTCCACCAAAGAGCATTTAAGTTGTGTTTAAAGGTCTGCTGGGGTAAGAATGATTGTAAAGCACATAGAACATGCTGTAGACCATGGATAAGCTTATAAAAATGCATCATTATTATTGTTATTGTTTTCATTCAAATTCACAAGCAGGTTGTACCTGGGATTTTCTCAGTTCTTTTTCCGAGGAACTCAGCACCCGACCAAAGTCTTCAAAGACTTCTTTGAGATTTTTCCAGAATTCTTGAGTTTGTGCAGTGCCATGAAGTCTGGGAAGTGAGAACCAATGTACATAAAATATATTATTTTGGTTGTCTGGCCAGAGGAAGATAAAGGACAAGACAATAAAACTGAGTGGAAAATATCCTGAGCTATTACTATAAAAACACTATTCCTTTGCAAACCATGCTGCTTAAATCTAATATCTAAATTTTCGTGCATATACACAGAAAAATTTATATACAAACAAACAAAATTGTTTTTCATTGCGTATTCATTTTAAGATACAGTTGAACAGTTTCGCGACAAAATGTGATATACTCTTTTTTCTGCTTTTGAGAAAAATGAGAATTCAGTTCTTCACCCATTATTCTTCACCCTTATGAATAATCTTGAGCTAGTTATTTTTTAGAGTAAACATGACGTAAGGCTTAATTAGATTTTGTAGTACGATGAAATCTATGCTGGATTCCTATCTTTTTTTTACAATAATAAGGGAGGGTAAGAACCCACCAACAAACTTTCATCAACCACAAAAGAAGCCACGTGTGACTCGAGGAAAGAAATTGATTGGCGTGCAGACGATATTTAGCAGTTTGTCAAAATAGTCTACTGCTTTTGTTGTGTTTTGTAAAAAAACAAATTTTGCGGTGCTTTAAATAGGAAAAATGACATTAAGTGAAAAATTTGTCCTTGTTTCAGGTTGCTCTGATTGGGACCCTTCTTTTGCTAAGATGCAATTTGTACTGTAGTCCAGGATGATATCAAATGAGCTAAGGAAGAGCTGACTGGGTTTTCAAATTCCCATCATAATAGGATCAAGAAGTAAATATACTCAAAACATATTTCATAAAAAGAGAAATAACTTTTAAAAATTTTTGATAGAAAAGTAACTTTTAAAAATTTTTGATAGAAAAGTAACTTTTTAAAATTTTTGATAGAAAAGTAACTTTTTAAAATTTTTGATAGAAAAGAAAAAACAGAATGACGTCAAGAAACATACTGCCAAACTCATGCTGATGACAAAATCTCACCAACCTCTGATGAAGAAGACTGGACTTCACTGCAAACTTGAAGATCTCTTCCAAAACCTACAAAGGAAGTGAGTAAACAAAATTGTTTTTTAAGTGGCTATGAGAAGTTTGTAAAAGATTCTACAAATACAAGTCAGTAAAATCATTTTGCCTCGAGTTTCTTAGGTCAGAGTTGAAAGCGCAGTAAAACAAACACCCAATCAGTGGCTCCAGTAGATCAACGAAAGTTGTGTTTCTTGTACCGTGACTACTCCATGCATATCACTGAGCCAGTGGTCATGTTTTTTAGCTTTAGTAAGAATTTTACAGCACTTGCAACACAATGAGGTTATATAAGTGCCAAGGATTAGAAGTGTTTCAAGAAGAGTAACAAACACAAAAAAGGAGGAGGACAATAGGTGTTTGATAGGAAAGAAGGAGCAAAGCACACCAGAGAACCCGCTCAGTGGTCATGTCATTTGATGATGAAACACTTTCTTAACACTTTCCATGAGCCGCACGGACCTGGCCTCGCTGGACCGAGAGCCGCAAAATACGGCTCGAGTGGCTTCCAATCCAGTAATGAAAAGACACGAAATTCTCGGCCGATCCACTTTTTCTAAATAATAGAATAGACTTCTTCCTGTCAGCAGATACGAAAGAAAATATAGCACTGAGAGACGATTTTTAGTCATTTCAGCGCTTTTTTTTGTCGCCTTCGAAACGTAAATATGAGAAAAAAAGCGCCCCCCTGACTTCAGTATATGTCCCATATTTTCACTTCTATATTAGGTACACATACATAACTTTGAGCATTTCTTCGCATTACATGAGGCAACCTACTTGGGAAGTTTGAATGATGCTGTTGTTGTACTTTTTTAGATATGACCTTTCAAAGCTGGAAAATAGTTGATTTCATATGACACCTTCGATATTGCATAATCACTTTTAGAAACACCAAAGTAATATAATTGAAATAAATCTTCTATATTGTATCGCCATCTGATAGATTATTTTTTAACCTTCATTTTGATGGGCCATATGATATGGTTTGTGTGTGTTTAGTTGGATGTTTTGACATTTTCCTTTGGTGGGGCAGGGGTGTAAAAATAGGTCAGGGAAAAGCCCTGGGCCAGTGGTGGATTTTGGCCTGGTAGGAAAAGAGTTAAAAAGACAAAACATGCTGATGATTTAATATCATACCTTAAAGACTTTCTTAGTTTGTCCCTTTTCTTCAAAGTCAGTACAGGTGTAGACTGTCTCCAGATATTTCTTCAGGCATTTCAAAAGATCTCTGAAAACAGACATGGCAGTACACAATGACTACAAATCACATTTTTAAAAACCCATATTCTTAACATGAATAATACCAGTTGTTATATTGCAGAAAAGTAATTAGTTTTCACAACATTATAAAAATGCCTAAAAATCTACAATGACCAAATATAAAGTGAACGGAAAATATTTCGGAGTCAACATCATTGTACATCATGAAATAAAATATATAAATGCGAGGCACCGTGGTGAAATCAGGCGCTCGTCTGAATAATGAAATTGGAGAAACTGACATTTTTCCGTTGCTTTGGCAATTTTTATCGAATTTTTGTTTTTCCGCTCAACATCTTTTATGTCCATTTAAAAAACATCTCTCTGTTCTCTGCGGATTTTATTGAAAAACGTTGAGTAAAGGCACAAAAATGTAAATTTTCAGTTTTCAAGGACTCTCAAGCTATGGAAGTCACCAAAGTTTCGCAACCATTACCTCGTTAATTTTACTTCTACAACCAGGCGATCCCTATCACCTCTAGTCGCAAATGTCTCGACTTCAATTCAAGAGAGATGGGTATTTTTGTCATAGAAAGCAAGATAAATGAATAAACTTTAAGATGATACCAATAACTCCATATGCCCAAAAATGGACAAGCGTCTGATTTCACTGCATCATGACACAAATTACTGTTCTACAATATGAGGCACGACACATGGGAATCAGGCGCTCGTCAATATTTGGCCATATGGAGTTATTGGTATCATCTTAAAACTTGTTTACTTGTCTTGCATTTGATGAAAAAAAAAATACCCATCTATTTTGAATAGAAGTCGAGGTATTTGCAATTGGAGATGGGGGTCGCATAGTGTCAGAGGTATATTTAGCATTTTCACTCACCAAGTCTTGCATTTACATTTTCTGTACCTTTGTTCAATGTTTTACAATAAAATCCACACAGGAATGTTTTGAAACGAACATAAGAGGTGATGAGCCCAAAAGAAAAAAATCAATAAAAATTGCCAAACGGGCCGAAATACGTTGATTTCTTAGATGTCATTATTTTGACGAGCACCTGGTTTCACCACGATGCCTCACATATTTGCTTCAGGATCTTCCCTCCATAAGCAAACGAAAAAAAACAACCTTTCCCCCAACTCAATATTGCAGTCACAATACTTACCTGTGAGCAACAGTTGAAGCAAAAGACTTCTCTAAGTAGTCTTCTAACACAACAGCAAACTTTTCAAACATATCCTCTTGCAGCAAGTAAAATATATACACCTGAAACAGATGACAGAAGCATTCCTCAGGAGCAAATACAAAGCAGTGCAAACTGGAGTAGGTTCAATTACTTAAAACTTAAATGCATGTGTGCTATGTTAATGTATGCTTGGGTTACACATAACCTGCTTCTGATTGTTGCAGATTTGATCTTTCTTTTACAATAATAATAATAATAATAATAATAATAATAATAATAATAATTATAATAATAACAACAATAATAATAATAATAAAAATAATAATAAAGATAATAATAAAAATAGTAATAGTAATAAAAACATTTGAAGTAATAATAATAATGATGATGATAATAATAATAATAATAACAATTATGATAATACTCATATTATTAACAATAAGAAGAACAATAATAGAAATAATAACAATAATAATAATAATAATAATAATAATAATGACAATAATAATAATAATATATATTTGTTTTTAGTCAGAGTTTTACGACATTTGCAACACAATATGGTTATATTAGTGCTGAAGATTAGAGGTGTTACAAAAAAGTAACAAACACAAAAAAGAAGAAGGAGAGATCAGGACGATAGATGTTTGATAGGAAAGAAGGAGCAAACCACACCACAGCACCCGCCAACCACCCACTAATAATAATAATAATAATAGTAATAATAATAATAATAATGGAAAGACTAAAAGCAAACAATAAAACTTTGCTCTTTATCTCACTCTTTGTCTCTCTCTCTCTCCCTCCCTCCCTCCCTCCCTCCCTCAAACAATAAAAGCAACATCACCAGGACAACATGACATACCAGGGCATGAAACACGTTCATGGAAAACGGAATCTTCTCCGAATCCTCCAATCTGAGCATGTCAAACAGGGCATCCAAGACGTCTTGTAGATACTGTCATAACAAGAAATGCAGAGAAAAAAAACCACATTACACTTCTTTACGTGTTAGTGTTAGTGAGTGTTTTACAGCACTTGCAACACAATAAGTGCTGAAGATTAGAGGTGTTACAGGAGAGTAACAAACACAAAAGGGAAGGAGACATCAGGATGACAGATGGTTGATAGGAAAGAAGGAGCAAATCACACCAGAGCACCCGTCAACCACCAGCTTACACTTTTCTTTTCCTCCAGGAATACATAGGTGCTAAAAAGAAAAGATGCTGCCACAGGCAATGCTCTCTGTCTAAAACCCTTGTTCTCAGGAATCAGTTCAAAGAGGGAATTTTATTTTTTTGTTTTTGTTTTTGTAAAGTGTTTTACGGCGCTTGCAACTGCATAGGTCATATGAGCGCGCGGGACACTCCTAATATTTTCAGTTGGTAGGAAATTTTGAATTTTGCCCGGATGGCGGCCGAAGCCTACTCTTATCGATTTTAGACCACCAAGGGACCTTTAACGTGCGCAACTTGCACACGGGCCCTCCGAGATTTTTCGCCCTTGTCCGAGAAGGCTAGGTGTAGATCTTTCCTACCTGAAGATCAGGGGTGTGGCAGAAAGACAGCAGTTAGGAGGAGCCAAGGAGTAGCAGTAGAAAGGCTGCAGAAAGGGTCAGGAGCCCAGAGGAGGGGGCAAAGGAGGTGAGGGGGTGGGGGCAGAAAGTGGAAATGAAAGTAGACAACAGAACATTGTTAGAGATCAGGAAAGGATGTGAAAGGAGACAATTTTAGAGAAGAAAATTTTTTGGTCGCTCCCCAGAATCGAACCCGGGACCTTTGAATGAGAGGCCAACACCTTAACCTCTAGGCCACGAGAGCCCCCTAGGGAATTTTAGGGGAACACTTTGGTGATGGGAATATAATAATAGATATAGATCTAGCACAAATTCCCGCTCCTCAGCAAGCTCTATGCACTTTACAATCTATAATATGACCCCCAGCAGACCTGAGAGCATTCTGAAACAATCTTAACTTCTTGGGAAGCATACAGTGCAAGCTTCCATTTTTATAGGCGCTAAAAAGCTAACATACTGACAAAATCTTTTGCTGTCTATGGTCGGGTACACATTCCCACCTGTGTGAAGTGAGGGAAATTCATGTAAAGTGATTTTCCCAAGGACACAATGTCAGGCCTGCGGCTTGAACCCCCAAACTCACAACCTCATGATTACCTTTACGGTGGCCTAACCACTAGACTATTGACACCACATTACAAAAACAACAACAAAAAAAAACATTGTCATGTCAATGACTTTCCTTCCCATAGAAGCTAGCTAGAGTTATCTTAAAACTTTGACCCCATGGGACACCCATCGGTAACGGTAAAAAAGCCATCCCTTTCCCAACGGGACGCCAGTCAGCAACAGCTCACTTGTTTAAACCTATCCGTACGCCCTGAGGTCATTTTGTACCCCCAGGGTTGTATTCTTCACATTTTAGAATACTTCTAGTATGAAGATCTCTGAAACTTCCAATATTTCTCAAAAAAATAATTTTGACAGACTGCTATGCAAAGCATAAGGATCAGATTAACGCCAAAGTTTGGAGACTTGGAAAATTTGAGAGTCCTTAAAGACCGTAAATTAAAATTTTTTGCACCATTAATCAACGTTTTTCTGTAACATTCACACAAAATTGTGTATTTAAAAGGACATGAAAGGTGTTGAGCCCCCCAAAAAAATTCTTTCTAAATTGCCCAACACCCAGAAAAATGCCTGTTTCTTTGATTTCATTTTTTTGACGAGCGCCTGATTTCACAACGCTGCCTCACATTTACAATGACAATTTTTGCCTACTCACCCTGACAAGCTCCTGTCCTTTGAGAGTGAGCAGGTTTTCTAGACTGCGTGGAATGTTTTCTCGAGGATTGGAGGACCACTGGAGGACACTGAGCAACTCCGCTGTGGAACGCAAGGACAAAAACCAGAACATACTAAAACACTCAAACTGTAATATCTCTCTCTCTCTCTCTCCTCTCCTTCCCCCCTCCTCCATCTCCCTCCCTCCCCCTCC